CAGTGGACATTTTTAACCGATTCAGCTGCTGCAGCCACACTAATTGTGCAATGCTTTGTGTTCCTACTCAGAAGTAGTCCCACTGAGTTCAACCAGGCTACTCCCTGGTAAGGCAAGCAATTGCTACAATCCGCAGCATCTTTCCGCACAGAAAGATGGAGGTTTCCCAGGTAAACAGCAGCTACCACTTTAAAGGAAATGACCGTTCTCACCTTTGTTTACATCCCGAGGTGCCAAAGAAGAGTATTTGAAGTGGGCACTCCTGTTGTTTGTGGGACAAAACAGTTGGTTCAAAAGGAATTCCCATGTTGTCTATTGATAACACACAACATCCACATAGGTCAAAGAAACTCATGATTTGGAGATAATGTAAGTTTTTGTAACCACCAGAAGGAGCTAAAGCCAAGAGGAATTGGTTTGGGGACATAGAACACATCAGCGCTCTCTCTCTCTCTCAATCTCTTTCTCTCAATCTGTGTGTGTGTGTGTGTGTGTGTGTGTGTAGGGGAGAGAGAGAGAGAGAGAGAAGGAGAGGGAGAGAGAGATTATTTCCCCAAACCAGTTATTTGGAGTATTAAAGATGCCAGCCACATAGGCCTTTGGAACCGGCATTCAGAAATTTAACACTCTTCTCCCCAAGCGTCCCCACACTGATCTGCCCTCCTGGCCGGTCTGGGCTTTAGGAGTGCTTGCAGTATTTTGCTGCTACTCCAGGAAGCCAGGTTTCTGTCACCAGCCGAGGTGCCCTCCTGCCGTTTCCCAAAACGCAGTCCAAACGGGTTGAAATTAAACTTGCTTCTGGTGAAACGGAGCCTGCAGGTGATCTGGCTTTCCGTCTCGCTCTCTTGGATGAAGTAGCAAAGTGTGGAAGGGTCTGTCGGGATTTTAGCCATGGAGTCCTGGGAAGTGTGGTAGGAATTCCTTTTGGCTTGCAGGTCATTGGCTGGATCTGCAAAGTCCAGGAGAAGGTCCAGAGTCAGAACAAGGTAACACACTATAGGGTATGCCTCTTATCTATGTGTCCATTTATTTATTATGCATTTATACCACTCAGGATGCAGCTCTCTCACCCCTATAGTACACGCTCGTAAGCCTCTGACTCAGCGGTGGATGAACACCCACTGGTCTTGTGCCTCGCCTTTTTCCTAGAAGGTTTTTTGGCCACCTAGATTTAGCACCATGGAGACGGAGGCTGGGTTGCCATCACCTCCTGGGAGGCCAACCCCCTGCCATGCCCCCCTTCCCACCTCCAGGGCCTTGCTGAGACCTTGAGATGCTGGGGGAGGCTGGCACAGTTCTTTCTGCCCCAGTGCTGAGGGGCATAAGGCTGGAGCTCAGCCCTTAGAGATCACAGGATCTCTGAGTGGGAACTGCTCCACTTCTCGATCGCTCCACTTAAGCAATAGACTGCTCCACTTAAGATTTTAGTACTTCAATGGTGCCATCCTATGGCCTCCCAGATGATGGGAGGCCATAGGATGGCACCATCGAAGTACTAAAATTGCTAAATGGCAGTACAAAGCATGAGATGAAATTCACTGTGTCTGCACAGGGAAGAGAATGGACAGGAAGGAAATGGATGCATCTGAAACATGGTGCTGAAGGAGAGGCTTAAGAATAGCCTGGAGAGACAGAAAGATGAGCACATGGGTCCTGGAGCAAATCAAGCCAGAATTTTCCCTGGGAACAAAAAAGACAAAACTGAGGCTCTCGTACTTTGGACACATCATGAGAAGACGAGACAAGAAGAAAACAATCCTGCGAGGGAAAGCTGAAGACGGAAGAAGAGCTATGAGATGGACAGACTCCATCCAGGAAGACACAGCCTTGAGCTTCCAGGAGCTGAGGGAGAGCTGCCAAGGGCAAGAGAGTTTGGGGGGTGGGGAGGGGTCATTCATGGGGTCTCCACAAGTTGGATACCACTTGACAGCACATAACCACCACAACATGAAGTAACAAATGACTGAAGATGGAATAGAAAAGTAGCAAGGAAGTGGATGGGTGGAATGCACACCATACCTGAAAAATCGACCTGCAGAATGGATGGGAAGTCCCCACGGACAGGTTTTCCGAAAGTCCCATTTGGATCAAGGATCATCACCAAGAGGGGTATGATGAGAAGCCGAAACGTGTCCTAATCGCCGGAGTGGGACAGGGAGGAGAGGAGACAGAAGAACAATGAGTGAGAATCTGCGGCAGTTCTGCTTCGCTCTGATCTTCCTCGGTGGAGTTCGGAGCAGTGCCCCAGGGGAAGACGACCCTGCAAGGTGGGCGAGTCTCTTGGAGAAGGGACTGGCTAAGAGAAGATCTGAACCGAGGTCTTTTCAAGCCTCTAGTCGAAACCGTTCTAGCACTCATACACTGCCAAGACTTTTCCAATAGCCGTTTGGGAAGGGAACTGGTTGCTACTAATTGATTCGAAAGACAAAGTGCATTTAAAAGGCAGGTTATAAATTAGGGCATAAAAATAGCTGAGCATTTAGCAGTTTCATCATGCAAAAAGTCTCTTCATGTTTTTGTCATTCATCCTTATGGCTAGTCACTTGGCATGTGTGTAACTCTAACCAGGTAACTCACCTGTTAAATACGTGCACTTACACACACACACACACACACACACAGAGCTTTTTTGCATGACTGAAAAGCAACAACATATAATAAATAAATAAATAAAGGCTGAAGATTTTAGGTTGAATACAGGCTATTTTAAAAAATAAGCACGATTTGAAGGCAACCGTATGAAGCTGCCTAATAGTGAATCAACCCATTAAACCAAAAAGTGAGTGAGTACGGGGAGGTGGGCCGGATTATGCATGATGCAGAGAAATCTTCTGCAGAGACAATTTTTCTCATGACACTAGAATGCAAAGTGATTGTCCCATGAAGAGATTCAGGACAGATCGAAGAAAAGACTTCACACGGCACAGAGTTAAAACTATAGAATTCACTCCCAGAAGATGCAGTGATGGCCACTGGTTTGGATGGCTTTAAAGGGAGATTAGACAAGCTGCTAGTCCTGATGGCTTTATGCTTCCTCCAGTATCAGTGGCAGTATGCCTACATAGCGTGGTCCCTGAGGGACATGGGTGGAGGGTGCTATTGTACCCATGCTTTGCTCCCGGGATCCAGTGGTTCATTGGCTCTGCTGGCTGGGAATGATGGGAGGTGTAGTCCAACATATCTGGAGGGCAGTAGGTTGGGGGAGACTGAACTAGTCTAATAGGATCTATCCAGGATGACAACAGGTTTCCCAGGGATCAGCCCCCCTAACACTGATTGTGTTGCCTGGGGGCCATTGTGGAGTTGCTAAGGATTAACCTGGACCTTCTGGAGGTGCTACACAACCAAGCTAAGATTCTTTAGCTCATGAGCTCTGGTGGCATGATAAAAAAATGCTTTCCTGCACGTCTTTCCTTCCTACTAGCATTTTTGTCCAAGGTTTTTCAGGTCTTTAAAGCAAAACATTTTCATATGCAAGCACAAACATCCCTGAAAAATGTCTGGCCCATAGGCCATGGCCAAAACCTGCTTCTGTCATTCCAGCTTTCCAATGGCCCAGTTCAAATCCTGAGGAGCAAAGGCAAACAAAACAATTCAACCTTTTCAAACTGTATGGACTATGAAATGAAACTGTAATGAAGCTTGGAAAAAGATGAGGCATGAGAAGTAAATAAAGAGCAATACAGAAATCTAAGGAAGGAAGGAAGGAAGGAAGGAAGGAAGGAAGGAAGGAAGGAAGGAAGGGT